GGTAACCCGTTGGCCTAGGTGGAAGTCGTATGAACCCCTTAGGACTATTCTTAGTATGAGAATGATCACACGTAAGCTTATTTATATGTTTCCCCCTCCCAATGTGCTATTATGTGTTATTATGTGTTATGTGATGCATGATTCCCCAATTTGGTTGCGATCAAATTGGCTATACGGGCAGTTGGATGGGTTGAGAACCATCCCAACTGTTAACCAGGCCGGTTGCGATCGGTCAGGTATATAAATATTATATAGGGCTGCGGTCCACTGTTGGTTACTTATGAGCTGCGGTTCATCCTCCTGGCTGCGGTCAGTGATTCACTTCTTGGGCTGCGGTCCACATGGGCCTCGGTTGCTATGACCCACCGACCTGGACGCGCCAGGCGGTGTGTAGGGCCAATAAGCCCGAGGAAGGCTGTAGTCCACCGACCTGAGTAATCAGGCGGTGTGTAGGGCTACGGCTGGTTGCGATCCACCGAGTGATGGGCCAGCGGTGTGTAGGGTCGTAGTCTCCGAGGATCATCGCCCACCGACTGAGTCCCTCAGCGGTGTGTAGGGCCTGATCCGTTACGGTCCACCGACTGTTCCCGTCAACGGTGTGTAGGAACGTATGTCCCCCCTTGTAAAGTGGATCACAGTCCACCGACTGAGCGCGTCAGCGGTGTGTAGGACTGTGATCCGCCGCTGAGTTCGTCAGCGGTCTATAGGGTTGGTTGCGATCAACTCCCTTCATGCTGCGGTATGAGGTAGGGTGCTGCGGGGCCGTGTTAGTGCTATATGCGCTAACCCTCATGTTCGGGGCACGCGATTGGTCCCGTTGCGCCATCATAGTGTGATTGTGTGTCACAAATGATGATTGGATAATGATATGATTGATTTGAAAGTAATCCGTGACCTTAGATGCATGTTCTTTATGATGGTTGTTTCTACTTAACTGTTATCATTGATTATTGTGCTTGCCCCTATTTGCTGAGTCTATTCCTTGTTTTAAAGCTAGAGTCTCTTAAGTATATATCTTCCTGCTTCAAAATGGTTCTCATATATCTATGTATATCTATCTATATTGTATTTCAACACGTTGGAGTGAGTTACCAGCATCATTCGCTGAACAGATATATTTGGCTTTCAGGCATCGATGATTAGACCCGGAGCGCGCTAGAGATCCGAAGCATAGAATAGTTAGTTTCCCTTCGGCCTGCGTGCCATGATTTTGTATTGACATTGTATTGAGGATTTTAGTTAGTTAGCCTGTGCATCCGAGTTCTCCAGCTCAGATGTGGCATAGCACCCCGCACTCTTATGTTGATTTTGGGATTTAATGAGAATTCACCTTTATTATATAAGTTTTAAAAATGTAAAAATTTCGGGGTGTTACAAAAATGGTAACACATTTTGGCACAAAATTTTTCAGATATGTAGTTCATCAAGTCTAGAACGTACACAAAAATTTTCATGCCAATCCAAGGTCTAAAAGTATTTTTCCCAAAATTTTTCCCAACATTGCTCCAGGCAGAAAAATAATTGACAGCACACTACCAAAACTTTACAGAATTTTCTGGGATAACTGGAGCATATTTTTAACAAAATTTTTTTATAGATATCAAATGACACAAGTTTAGGTTCTCCAGGAAAAATTTCATTCCAAAAGGAGTTCAAGAAGTATTTTTTACGAATTTAATTTTCAAACCGCGCCGGTCAGAATTTTCAGGCAGTGATTACTGTGTGTAAAAAAAATATTCATAAGTTGTTTGCTTCAGGCAAACCATCATGATGTGAGTCAATTTTGACTTTTGGATAGTAGCATAGCATTAGAAATAGAAGTTGCAAACTTCATTCATGAGTCATAAGTCACCTTAAAGATCAATCCCATTTGAGGTCTTCTAGACCTTTATTAAAAACGATCCGATGACCAAGCATATTGCCAAGTAGGAAAGGCTCGGAACTCATAAAGTACATTCCTACAAAAAACTAAAATTTTGAAGTCTTTTAAAAAAACAATGACATTCAAAATACTTATTATAATCTGGTCATGTACTACTACAGGAGTACAAGGTGACTATCACATATGACAATGAGACCCACACTCTTTTAAATAATTTTTAGTTATGTACTTCTACTAGAGTACAACGGATTCATGTACCATCCGAAAAGGTACCATCCGGGAAGTAAAACCCGTCCAGAAAATTAAACATAGAGAAGTAAATTCTGAATTGTCAAATAATTCCGGGTGACCCACGAGAATTAACTTCTCAGATCATGCGTCCATTTTATACATTAATGGATCACGATAATTTATTGATCATAGGATCATACGATCCTTCAGGGATCAACTTAGGCTCTATGAATCTTTTCGATCAAATATTCATAACCGATGGTTTAGACTAAAAGGTGTCAAATAAAAATTAGTGCTCTAAGTGTTTACCTTCTTGGCAAAACAATATTGAAAATATGCACTTTTATTGTGTTCAAATACTCACATTTGAGATATTCAAGATTCAAGACTCATGCCATATAATTTTATGATAAAAATTAGCACCATCAATATCCATGAATTTGGACAAATAAATCATTTGACTTCCAAATCAGAATTAAGTCAATTTGACATTAGTAATATAAATTGTCGTAGTGCTATTATCATATAATAACTAGTGCTATGAATTCGCCTTCTGGCAATGCTATGTTTAAAAATTCATGCTATAACCACTTGTTGATTAAGACAACCCTACAAGGACTATCATATAATAAGTGTATAAAATAATGACTTTAATTTGCCATCCGAGCAGGGCTCCCAAAGAGATTTAAGGGGCCGTTTGGTTCACGGAATGTTAGATTACCTCAGGGAATGTAAGATTACCTTAGGGAATGTTAGATTGCTGGGAATGTTAGATTCCTGTGTTTGGTTAAAATTGAGGTATGTAATATAATCATGTTTGGTTTAGGGTTATCTTTTATATATATATATATATATATATATATATATATATATATATATATATATATAGTATCCTTAACATATTTTCATATATTTTAATAAATTTAATAATTAAATTAAATAAATAAGATAACGGTATCATATATAATTACATGATTTTAAAATATTAACTAAAATCTTGAACTTGAAAACAAAATTATTTTATATGCTAACATAATGTAATAAAAAATATATAATATAATTACAGCAACAATAACAACAACAACAACAACAACAACAACAATAATAATAATAATAATAATAATAATAATAATAATAATAATAATAATAATAATAATAATAGGCTAACATAAAATATATATCTTTAAATAATTAGAATTAAAATGACAAAATTCATAAATATGCAAGGTTATCTTACATTACCTAACAAAATGAAGGGAATCACATTCCCTTCAAAATCCTATGTGGAGGGAATGTTACATTTCCTGGGAATGTTATATTCCCTCAGAGAAAATGAACCAAACATAGGAATGTAAGCTCGGGAATGTCACATTCCCTTGGTTATATAATATAACCTGAACCAAACGCCCCCTAAGAGAAATCTCAAAAAATATGACCTATAGCAAAGAATTGTTACCATCAAGAGCAAATCATATGTGCTCTTTTGTGATGACTCATATCGCTGTAAAGCATGAGATAGCAATTTGTGACACAATCAATAGTTTGTCACTTGACAATAAGTGCATCGACCATACAATGTTGGTCACATCAAGAAAGACATTTTAACATGAGCAGTATGTGCAAAGATCCAAAAGAATCAAAGAAGCCATTGATATTGCATAGACATTCAATATCAGATTTTTATGCCAAATTTTATCAAATTAAATATTCAGATTATTCCACAGAGTTCATGTAGATGATCATTATAGACAGCTCTCATGTAAAAATGTATTGAAAATACCTCTCACCAGGGTTAAAAAGCATATGTTTCTGGTTGTGTCCACATCCTCAACCAGCCAAAGAGATGAAACAGCGGCTCACTGTTGCAAGCCAAAACAATGCCTAAAAATACTGGGACTAGAGCCAAAAAGACCTCCGTAGACTCATCTTTTTCTCTACCCATCAGTAATAGCTTCACACACGACAGGCTTTACTGATTTAGTCGAGTAATGTTGAGGGCTCACCGCGACGACCGAAAATGTGGCTCGCCGTCCAGGTAAAGAAAATAGAGGGAATAATCTTTTTCTTTACCCATCTAGATGGCTCGCCGCGGTCCAATAAGGAGGAGGTTAGAGGAAGAGAAGCGGTCGCGGTCCAACAGGGAGGTGGCTCGTAGAGGACATCGTAATTCCGACGGTGCAAGTCGGAACGCGATATAGATTACTCTCCATCGAATATATCCCTTGTCTCCGGTTCACCATGATGGCAAAATGTAGAGCAAAGGGTTGATAACGTGTTGAATAAAATAATAAGGAGAAAAAGGAATAGAGAATGGAGAGGGAAGGCTGATCTATTTCATTCTAAGGGATACAACATATATATATATATATATATATATATATATATATATATATATATATATATATATATATATATATAATATACTAGTATTAATAACAGTAATAATGCTGGCTGTTACAAACGTTATAACCATTATAATAATGTCCACACTTAATATCATTTATAACACCAAAATCATAATTAAAGAAGTACATAATAATATTTTAGAATAAAATTAAACACAATAAAATTCAAATTGCATATTGTTGAACATCAACAATTAATGTAAGGTCTTAGCCTGATGTAATAAATTCATCCATAGTCGTATTCATGATATCTTGTGTAATCTCATTCAAGTCGGTTTGTCCTGAATCTACAAATTTTCAAAATATAATAACAATATAAGTCAATAAAAAAATTAAAAATAACTAATAATGAAATAAAGAAAAATAAACAATGATTCTATTTATAAACTTTATGTAAAAAAAATGGCATTATCTAAATCCCCCTACAACCAATCTTTGCAACAGACAATACCCTCTACAACTTCTGGTTTAAGTGAGCTTCGCTATTGGTCAAGGATTCTACCACCAACACTGAATGTAGACTCTGAAGCCACTGTAGACACTGGAATACTTAAGATATCTCGAGCCATGGCAGCAAGTTGAGGATACCGAAATTGATTTCCCTTCAAAAAATGCAAAATATTCAAGTCTACTTTTCTGTCAATTCTTTGCTCATCTAAATATATCTCAAGCTCAGACTTGTTTTTCGAACTCCCAAATTTAGTGCATTCATAATTGTCAAATTCCTAGTTACATACACACAAAAAATACATATTAAAATAATTCCTAAAAAAATTGATATAAGAAAATTATTATATACATTACATTAAAAAAGTTACCTCAAAATCGTCCTCATTATTCCCAGTGCCAACTGAGTCATTGCTAAGATTCATATAATTTGATGAAGCATGTCTAGGAGAAATCTTGTTAGCATATTCATTGTAGAGAGAAAATAAGCTCTCCTTAACTTTTTTAAACTCCATAGAATCATGCCCATAAAGCTGTTTGTAACTCCAATCAACAAAATTAATCTTGTAACGAGGATCCAATATCACAGCTACAGCTAAAATCAAGCTAAATGCAGACCAATACTTCTCAAATTTAGCAAACATTTGGATAGCCATATTTCTCATACCCAAATCATCCCCATTCTTTTGTTCTTCTAAAGTTAAGCGTGCCTTGAATATAGCAGGAAAATACAAGTTCGTTGTTGGATACTTGGTTCCAGAAAACATACAAGTAATCTCATAAAAAACTCCTAAGAACTTGCTAAGCTTCTCAATTCTATCCCACTCATCTTTAGATAGACAATGCTTATAATTTGAATCACTAATTTCCAAGTGAGAAAAAGCCATCCGAAAGTAAAGTGCACTTTGAAGCATAAGATATGTAGAATTCCACCTAGTTGGAACATCTTGCCTTAAACCCCTTTTTGTATTCAAACTCAGTAAACTCACACATTCAAGAAACTTTTGTTTTCTAACTTGAGAACCTTTCACATACTTAACGCTTTCCCCCAGCAATATCAACTTCCTTCAACCCCTCTTGCACAATCAAATTAAGAATATGAGCACAACATCTAAGATGAAAGTATTTACCATCATCTAAAAGCACATTTCTTGCATTCAGCTGCAGCTGTAAATAATCAACAAAAGTATCATTGGCAGAATGAAGCATTATCCAATGTCACAGCAAACAACTTACTTTCAATTTCCCAATCGGCTAGTAATCCATATACCTTTTCACTTAATGCAATACCATTATGTGGAGGTGGCATATAAGAAAAATTCAAGATTCTTTTTTGTAAAACCCAATTTCTATCAATAAAATGAGCAATAAGACATATATACCCATCAGTAGTGACAGAAGTCCACAAGTCTGAAGTCAAACTAACCCTACCAGGTGTTTCATCAAGCATGAATTTTATCTTATTCTTTTCTCTTTAGTGCAATTTAACCATATCAGCTTTAGCAGTGTTCCTAGAAATAGTAGGCACATCATCCTTCAAGTAAGAGAAAACAGTTCGAAAACCACCATATTCCACAAAAGATAATGGCATATTATGCATAACAATTGCAGATATTAGTAACTCCCGGAACTTTTCTTCACTAAATTTGCTAGACCTCATTAACATAGATCCATTCTCACCACCGATAAGCATTTGACCTGTCACGTGTGTTTTTCCTAACACAATATGTAGTATGACGTTTTAGATTACCTGTCCCATATTTGCTGTCAGAATTGATTAGAACTTCACAATATTTGCACTTTGCTTTGATTACATTCTCACCATTTGTATTCTTGATAACCAAACGATCAAAATGATCCCATACCTGTGATCTCAACTTCCTTTTGCGTTTCAGTGACTTTTATGGATCTTTTTGTTCTTCAACTTCTACACAATCATCTGGATCTTCAATTTCAACATTCATATTAGTAATATCTTCAATTTCCATTTGTCCTAACCTGTGAAATATAGTATAAATTTATTAAAAGTAGCAGACAACAAGTAAAATTATTCTAAAACTCTCAATATATAAATCTATAATATATAATATATAATATAAATGTATAAACAACACAGTATAACATTTCACATCTTCAATTCCATGAAAAAAAAGCACAGAAAAATATAAACAATTTCATAAATTTATAACTTTACAATACAGTTCACATACATATAATATATATACAATAATACAGCTTACTGTAAGAAATTAAACACAAAAAAATACAAATTTATCTAATATAATATGTAAAAGTTTGCATACATATACAACTTACCATAAGAAAGTTCGCATACATATAATATATACAATACAACTTATACGACAACTTTTTAATATTATACACAAAGAAATAAACATACAAGATTGCAAGTATTACGAATTTACCGTAAGTGAAGATCAAAGTATTAGATTATTTGTTAAGCTTCAACCTTCAAGGGAGTATTTGATGATTGAATGGTTGATTCTTGAAGTGTTTGACAATATCATGCCGTAGAAAATTAAGAATGAAAGCCTAAAGTCTGACACCATCGAAATTGAGTAAATTCCTTAATTCCCCGTGAAAGATTTGTTTATAAAATAAAACTAACAAAATAAGAATAGAACTTTCCATATTCCAAGTCTTTTAGGGTTTTAGTTTTCAATTTCCTTTTATATTAATTATATTAAATGAGTAAAATAATATCATAACAATGGTTGTTAGCGGGTTATAAACAGGTTCGTTTAAACGGGTTCGTGTAAACGGGTTAACACGATAACATTAACGGGTTAAACGGGTTTAATGGGTTGACCTGTTAAGACACAAATCATAACGGGTCTATAATGGGTCAACCCGTTAATGACCCGCGACACGTTAAGGCTAAACACTAACCCGTTATTTTCGCGTCCGGTTTCGTGTCGTGTTAACGGGTCGTGTCGATAATTGCCAGGTTTACCCGCCGGTCCACCCACTGGAACATGTGGTTCTGCCGGCGGGTGGTTGTCTACCCGCCGTACCGCCCGCTGGTACGAGCCGGCGCGGGGTCGTTCGGTCTCCGTTGGGTCGAACCCTGTGCCCCGATGTGTCTTCTTTGATGTTTGTGAGTCTAGAATGATGTCCTAGGTACCGTAAGCGGGATTTGTGAGTCGTGTGTCTATGCATGAGGGATAAACGTGTATGGTGTGGGTCCAAAGTATGATTTATGCTATTCCCCGTAGGTCGTATGTTTAGATCGACATCCCATGTCGTTGTGAGTCTATTCGTATGCTCTTCCCTTTCCCCGGTTACCCTTGATTGGAGTCATCGTTAAGTCTTGAATGTTGTGTTGGTGTCCATGTATGATGAAAAGATATGAGATTGGTGGTAAAAGATGAGATTGGTGGAATATTGCACTGTGTGTGCTTAGATTATCGTGCTGCGGTACGATCAGGTTTGCACTGCGCGTGCTGATGATATTGCACTGCGCGTGCTTATGTTATGGTGCTGCAGTACTTGTGTTATAGCACCGCGAGTGCTTAGTTTATCGTGCAGCGATACAATCAGGTTTTGGCACTGCGAGTGCTTAGATCGGTGGGAAAGCAGGCGGGGAGCATTGCTCTGGAGGGATAAGGCTGGTGGAGTACAGGGTGGCCTGGAGGTACAGGTTGGAACTGATATAAGGATGGAGATGAGTAAAGGTTGGAACTTGGTATAAGGTTGGAACATGAACGTGTCTTGTTATGTGGTCTTATTGTTGTCTGTTATTGTTGTCTTGTCTTGTGGTCAGAGTCTGTTATGTGTCCTTTATTGTTGTTTTGTCTTATAGTCATAGCTTGCATGCTTGTATGAGTTGTATCTTGATGTGGTCTTAACGTGTCGATATCTACGATATGCCATGAGTCCTTATCCTGATTTGAAAGCTAGAGTTATTTAGGACTATATTTATGTGTTCCCAAGTCTCAAAATGGTTTTCTTATATCCATATATTTATTGTACTCAATGCGTGGGAGTGTGTTACTTAGCATTATTCGCTAACGGTTGCTACACCGCATGTTTTTCAGGTACAGATTAGTTGGCTCGTGAGCGCGCTAGACGGAGTTGCGGTTCCTAGTATAGTTAGTGATTAGTCTTAGTTTAACGGCCTGTGAGCCATCTTGTATTTGGATGATGATTATGGATTATGATTAGATAGTTAGTAGCCTGTGCATCTAGGTTCTCAAGCTTAGATGTGGCATAGCACCCCTACACTTTTATGTTTGGTTTCCGTTTATTTGCGTATTAATGATAGACTTACTCTTATTTCGTAAGCTTTAAAGGATTTAAATTATGCTGAAAATTGGGGGTGTTACAGTTTCACTGCCTCGGGTTTCTTTGGCATCTCCTTCTGCACTAATGGCACGTTTGCTCTCTGCTCGGGTTCGATTATCGGGTCGTCGTGGTTTCCTTCATTTTGATAGTCACCCCCCTTCGCACTTGCATTCCTGTGCCCACACTAGTCTTGGCGGTGGTGTAACACCCCACTTTTCTAACTCTTAATTTCATCTCTAAATAGTCATTAACGTAAACTAAGCAGCGGAAATTTAGATGATAAGTAGTGGGAGTGTCACTGCCACAACCACCACTCTTGGGTGATTGCACATGCAAAAGGGGTAAAACTACAAATACGATTAAGTCTGGGAACTAAAAGTAATAACTGGAAAAGTAAGGGGGAAATACGTCACCCCAAAACAGTCTACAATAATCCATCATCAAGAAGTCATAAATTCTAAATCCATAACATCGTCATCAAATAAACTAGAGTTTTAGACAGCTCAAACTAAGAGACTAATCTAACTCGATCTCTTCTCACTGCTGGGCCCACCTGAAAGGGGTTTTGCAAGCAACACATAGACAAACAGGAAAAACACCCGTTAGCACGAAGCTAAGTATAACCACACTCAACCCTGTAAAGAATTCTAGCATATACTTGGAAAACATTGGATATCTTTATATCAATAAACTAATCTCAAATCATCTTTAGATTATCGTATTCTTTCTAGATGCTTGCACCCTATAATAACAGCTGACATGCTTATATTTGTACAAGACTGATCACATATATTCATCAACATGTAGACTTCTCAAATAGCTTATCAAGCAATTCATGCTTACAGATAGGATCATGTTTAAAGATCATATAACAGATGTTCACATGCGATCACACTCTTATCACATAACTTATTAAGTAGAACTTCTACTACATCACAATGATCATGCTTAAGGGAATATCTCCAGTTAAGCTTCTCATTCAAATAATTCACTTACGATGCTTCATTCGCATACAATCATGTATAACATTATGGTCATACTTCTTGTGCAAACTAGTGCCACAATGTAATCATACTCTTATGCAACAATATAATCATACTCTTATGCAATCTTGTGCAACAATATACTCATTCTCATATGCAATCTAGTGCAACAATATACTCATATTCATATGCAATCTAGTGCAATAATATACTCATATTCATAGGCAATCTAGTGCAACAATATGCTCATATTCATAGGCAATCTAGTGCAACAATATACTCATACTCATACTCATATGCAATCTAGTGCAACGATATACTCATATTCATATGCCATCTAGTGCAACAATATACTCATATTCATAGGCAATCTAGTGAAATAATATAATCATACTCTTATGCAATCTTGTGCAATAATATACTCATACTCATATGCAATCCAGTGCAACGATATACTCGTATTCATATGCAATCTAGTGCAACCATATACTCATATTCATAGGCAATCTAGTGCAATAATATACTCATTCTCTTAGGCAATCTCATACAACAATATACTCATACTCTTATGCAATCTCGTGTAACAATATACTCATACT